GTTGCAAGCGAGAGCTCCCTTATACAACAAAGTAAATAAATGAATAAAAACGTATTCGTGCAATTTTTTTTTTCTTTGTAGAATTCAAGGAGGAATTGAAAGCTCTGGCTTAGAAAGTGTGGCAGTGAGCCATCTCTGAGTACTTTGACAGCAAGAGTTGAAGGCTCTTGCTTCCATATCTCTACTATTAATGAGCTACAGGTCTCATTTCCTGGCCTTTGTGTCTCTTTTGTTCAAATCCCAAATTTCTGGAAACAGAATATCATTAGCCCAGCTGCACTGGGAGATAGGGGCAGAAAGTCCAACCCTAGTTACTTGGGCCTGCGACTTTCCTAGAAAAGATGCAATGTTCCAGAGATAGGCATACATCAAAAAAAGGTAATTACTGTAGTACTTCACTGTAAAATGCATATATATTTTTATTCCTGTAGATTTTTCACTTAGGAGTTGAATTATTGAAAAGTAGTCTTTCTGATTTTTTTTAATAAATGGGAAGAATTTTATTTTTTTAAGTATTAATTCCCGTTAACATACAGTGTTATATTAGTTTCAGGTATACATTATAATAACTTAATAGTTCCATACATTACCCTTAAATTGGAAGAATTTTAAACACTACCCAAAGAAATTCTCTCATGAGTGCTTTTACAATATAATTAGTCTTGTTTTAAAATGAAGATGTTATTATTTAGGTAGGGTGAGGCCAACAGATCAGGAAATGACTATGATTAAACAGTTTGTCACTTGGAGGAGGGGGCACCCTATGCCATGACAGACCACACGTTTAGCACCAAGGTTGGTCAGGAGGCAGAGAGACCAAGAGGAAAATGTGGGCAAGAGTCTCACTTTAGCTTCTGTGGGAAGGAATGGGTAAAGGAGGGTAAGCAGGTTTGGCCAGCTTGAATCATCGCAGGGGAATTTGGGGCATAAAGGTTTGTCTCTGGTTGTTTGATTCCTGGCCCTGGAGTGATTAGGGTAGGTGGAATAGTGGTTCCATGCATTAAAGCGTGATAAAAGAAGTGGTAGGAGTCTGGGCTCTGGATTGATTTGCATTTGAAGGGTGCTTTTCTAGGCATGTTTTCTGCTATTTCCAGAAATTGACTAACCCTCTTTGGAGGCACAGGGTCGCAGGGCTTTAGATGTCAAAGCGTTAGAACTACAGAAAATAACAAGACATGGTTAATACCGTTGCTCACTTTGAATCAGTTTTGTGGGTTCTCATGTGGAATCCAGTATAAGTTCCTCAAATGGCCTTAATGTGACCCAGCCCTCTGCTGGAAACTAGACTTTGCCTCTCACTCTTCCCTCTGTCAGAGTGGCTTCCTTACAGTTCTTTGAACACATCCAGCACACTTCCCACTCTAGGGACCAGTAGAGCCCCCTCCTGCTTGGAGTGCTTTTCCTTCAGACATCAACTTGGCTTCCTTCTCTGTTTCCTTCAGGCATTTGTGCCTATGTTACTTTTTCAGTGAGACCTACCCTAACCACTTTCCTTAATGTTGCTTCCAGTGCCCAGTTTTGCTCTCCCTTCCCCTCTCCTACTGTTTGTACGTAGCACTTAGCACTTTCAACATTCAGTGTCGTTTGCTTACTTACTATTCATGTTCTTTACCCCTCTACCTCTATAGTGCAAGGGTCTTTATTATTTTCATCACTGTACTCTAAGCAGTTAAAGACAATGCTGGGAACGTAGTAGGTGCTTGGAAAATTTTTGTTTATTAATGACATTATTTTTCCAAAAGTGGAACAGTCTGTAAGTATTACAAGGTTAATCTTCAGCAGTGCCCAACATGGGAATACAGTGTGTTCTTATTGTATTAGTCAGTTATTGAGGCCAGATGGTATAAAGGAAATCTAAAGTGTTGAGATTCTTGTTTAGCAAGTCCTAGTTCAGCTAGACAGAGGACTGAGAAGAAATTCTCTCATCTTATAAAACAGATGAACATAAGGGAAGGGAGACAAAAATAATATAAACACAGAGAGGGGGACAAAACATAAGAGACTCTTAAATACAGAGAACAAACAGAGGGTTACTGGAGGGGTTATGGGAGGGGGGATGGTTTAAATGGGCTAAGGGGCATTAAGGAATCTACTCCTGAAATCATTGTTGCACTATATGCTAACTAACTTGGATGTAAATTAAAAAATAAATTTAAAAAAGAATTAACTCCAAAAAAAGAAAAAAGAAAAAATTCTCTTATCTTTTCCGACTTTTAAGCCCTGTGTATTGAGTTTTTCGTGTTAATACCATAGCTGTTATTGACTTTACACACAAACCAATTTATTCTACCTGACTTGTACACTGTAGCTCTCTTGTTAATAGTTTCATTTGAAGACTTTCTCTTCATTATCAAATCCACAAGGCTGTGCCCTTCAATTCTCTTAGAAGAGCCACCTGCCACTTCTTCCTAGAAGTAGCTCTTTGGTCAAAAACTTTTAGGAGCACTCTGGAGTGAGGAGTGAGAGACCTAGCCCAGGGTGAGCTCTTAGTAAGTGTGGCTGCATCCTGTGTTACTAGTGTGTGATTTCAAGCCATGTGCTAAGAAGAAAATGTCAAAATCTCATGAATGGACACTTTTCTAAAGAAGACATCCAGATGGCCAGCAGGCACATGAAAAGATGCTCATCGTCACTCCTCATCAGGGAAATACAAATCAAAACCATGCTGAGATAGCACCTCATGCCAGTCAGAGTGGCTAAAATGAACAAATCAGGAGACTATAAATGCTGGAGAAAATGTGGAGAAACGGGAGCCCTCTTGCACTGTTGTTGGGAGGTGCAGCTGCTGTGGAAGCATTGTGGAGGTTCCTCAAAAAATTAAAAATAGACCTACCCTATGGCCCAGCAATAGCACTGTTAGGAATTTGCCCAAGGGATACAGGAGTGCTGATGCATAGGGGCACTTGTACCCCATTGTTTATAGCAGCCCTTTCAACAATGGCCAAATGATGGAAAGAGCCTAAATGTCCATCAACTGACGAATGGGAAAAGAAGATGTGGTTTATATATACAATGTAATACTACTTGGCAATGACAAAGAATGAAATCTGGCCATTTGTAGCAATGTGGATGGAACTGGAAGGTATTATGCTAAGTGAAATAAGTCAGGCAGAGAAAGACAGATACCATATGTTTTCACTCATATGTGGATCCTGAGAAACTTAACCGAAGACCATGGGGGAGGAGAAGGGGAAAAAAAGTTACAGAGAGGGAAGGAGGCAAACCATAAGAGACTCTTAAAAACTGAGAACAAACTGAGGGTTGATGGGGCGTAGGGGAGAGGGGAAGGGGGGTGATGGGTATTAAGGAGGGCACCTGTTGGGATGAGTACTGGGTGTTGTATGGAAACCAATTTGACAATAAATTTCATTAAAAAAAAATAAAATACAGCTTAAAAAAGTAAATAAATAAATACAAGTTCTATTAAAAAAGAAGAAAATGTCAAAATCATGTTGAAAATGATTCTGTCTCTTCTGGAAACATGGTATTTGGGAAAACAGGAAATGACTTAAACAGTGTAAAACAAATGACATTTATGATGCATTCAGATATTTAATGATGTTAAGGAGCTATTGGGGAGGTTTAGGTATGAGATGGTGTTGTGGTTTTCTTTTCTTTCTTTTTTTTTTTAAGTCTTTAACAGATACCAATGAATGAAATAATGTGATATGCAGGCCTTGCTGCAAACCAGTGCAAGTGTTGAAAATTGGGGAAGGGTAGAAATGAAGACAGATTGGCCTGGAGTTGGTTATTGCTGAAGCTGGGTGTTGGGTGCATTAGGTTTATTATTGTATTGTGTCTATTTTCTATATATTGCCAATTTTTAATTAATAAAACATCTTAAAAATGTAATGGTAATGGCTGCACAATTCGTCTTTCTGAATGTAAACGAAGCACATTGATATTTCATCATCAAGAATGATATTGGTTATTGGCTTAAAGGCACTTCATGTTGTGACAAAAACCCTTCTGTTGCTAACTGTTTAAACCAGGAGTGGATGCTGAAAACCATTAAATGACTTATCTGTGTCTTGAGATAATTGCATCTCTTTATGAGAACCTCTTATTTCTAATCATAGTAAATAAAACCTTTCTGCGTTTTGCAGAGAACTCTACAGTTAGTTAACCTTTAACTCACCAAATATTTCTGAGCAGCTAGTAAGTGCCATCTTCGCACACGGGTGAGGGAGGGGGTAGCTGGGAACGTGGTAGGCAGGTCCTTGCGGTCCTGAAGCTCAATTCCAGTGGGAGGATAGAGCATAATCAAGCAAATAAATGAACAAGTTCAGGTGGTGAGAAGGCTTTCTCGGGCTTTCTGCCAGAGAATCTGGTGCTGGAGCCCCGGGGCTGGTGAGGGGGACACAGGGTATTGCCAGCTTCTTTCCAGTGGGGCTGCACTTCTCAGGCAGAAAGGAGCAAGTTTTCCTCAATTTGGCTCCATTATCTTCACATTTCATGGTCATTCTTTCCAGACTCTAGCATGGGTTGGGTGTTAAAATTAGTTTTTGAGGTTGCTTTGAGTTATTTCCCTTTCCTGTGTCTTTCTAGGGATCTAATTGCTAGGCTCAGAAGGTTGGTCTTCAGGTACTGTGAGGCCAACACCACCTGTACTGGAACCAAATAGGTATAAGTGTGAACCGTAGTCTCACCTGTATTAATTATCCTGTTAATTTCACTGCTTAAATATTTAAAAACAAAGCCAACTGGGGAAATTAAAAATGAGCATCAGCCACCACCAGTGACTGAGCGCCTGCTTCGTGCTCCTGTAAGTTTCACAACTAGCTGGCATGGCATGTCTGACAATGGAGGAACTGTAGGAAAAATGAAGGAAATACCTTGTTCAAAGACACACTGGAACCAGTTGGGGGAGCTGGGATTTGAACTCGGGTAGCTTCTCTCTAGACACTGCATTTTTAACCATTATACCGTAGACTTGTTTTTTAATAGAGTCTCGCAAGAATGATGATTTCTTGTAAGATGCTTTTCTGCGTGTGTTTCAGGTTTTGCTGATCTTTGCAAAGGAAGATAGTCAGAGTGATGGATTCTGGTGGGCCTGTGACCGAGCTGGTTATAGATGCAATATTGCCCGGACTCCAGAGTCAGCCCTGGAATGCTTTCTAGATAAACATCATGAAATTATCGTAATAGATCACAGGCAGACTCGAAACTTTGATGCAGAAGCAGTGTGCAGGTACCTTCCCTAATGTAACATGCTCACTAAACGTTCACCCAGTAGCCAAAAATGAAATTCATTTATAGATGTCTTTAGTTCCATCCCAAGTATTTCTAAAATGTGTGTTGATGTTTCTTTTTAAAAAAAAATTTTTTTTTAATGTTTGTTTCTTTTTGAGAGAGACAGAGACAGAATGTAAGTGGGTTAGGGGCAGAGAGAGAGGGAGACACAGAATCCGAAGCAGACTCCAGGCACCGAGCTATCAGCACAGAGCCTGATGCGGGGCTTGAACTCATGAGCTGTGAGATCATGACCTGAGCTGAAGTCGGATACTCAACCGACTGAGCCGCCCAGGCACCCCTGTGTGTTGATGTTTCTAAGCAGTTTATACAGATTTCTGTGATGAAAGCTATAGGTCCTCCTATGAATTTATTTCACCTTTTCTGTTTTTCCACGTTTGAGTTCCATTGAATTTAGAGGTGTGATCTGGGTGCCTCAGAAAATGTCAAGGTGTTTTTTTCTCCCTCTGAGAATTGCTCATATTTCACGCGTTCACACACAAAAGACATTAAAATTCACACAGTTCTTATTATACAGATATGGTTTGGATTTAAACCAGATATTTTAATCTTAATTATTCTGTCCCCAAATGAACATCAGAAATGTGTGAAATACACATTTTTCCCTGCCTGACACAGATGGGGTAGATCGTACAGTAATCGCGGAGCAAAGGCAGCCACTTCACAGCCACAGGAAATCTTCCAGGGATCCAAACTCTCCGCTTGTTTACAGAAACGCTTGCACTCCGGGGGGAGAAATGCATGCCTGTTCATAAATAAATGCAGTCCTAAGAGTTAGCCGTGGATGAACTGATCCGTTTAGCAGAATTGGAATGCTTTGAAGCTAGATGGCAAGAGGTCACTAATTAAATGGCTAGGCCGGCACAGACTCCAATTACATATGGAGCTGGAATTTTCTTGAATGTTAGTAAGTGAAATGAAACACAGGGAAGTGGGTTCTCAGATCCTTTGGTACTCTGGCAAGAAATGATTGGATTAAGTAAGAGACGTTTCTCAGCAAAGGCCTGGCCTTGTTATTTTTTGCCCATTTTCATTTTCCTAAAGAAGAATTTTTCCTACAGAACATATTTTAACATGTCTTATTGGTCTCAGATATCTTGGCATGCTGCATAGAAATGTTTTCCTACTCATTTATTATATATGTGAATAAATACATCATAAAATATTTGGATGATACTCTCAGTATCAGGAATTTTTTTTTTCTTTTTAAATGATTGAACGGATAGCATTGGGTCCTTTATAAATAGATCTACTTTTTCTTGGCCTTGACTTTTCTTACATGATTTTTCTACTAAAAACGCCATAATCCTTTGTGCATACATGGAATGATTTAAGACAAACTTCAGGTGTAAAAATAAAAAAAACTCTTATAATTCAGGTAAAGACAAAATTTAGCAGATTTTACCATCTTCCTTCAATATAAAGAAATGTAGTTTTGATGTCTGATAAATATACTTCTGTCTCAGCCGCACAGAAAAACAGTGGGGGATCTGTGCAGGTAGAAGCCAGGTTGTGTATCTGGGAGTGTGATTACTGCCTGTTAGTGGTTATGTCACATGCAGCCAGAATCCTGAATGTGTGGCTGCCAGCACATGTTCCTAAGATGTGTAAGGGGCCCACTCCTGACACATGTGCAATCTTCTTTGTCATCTCTGGTCCAGGATCCCTGGATTTTTGAGCTAGACTGGACCTTAGCTTAACATGCTTCCTTGGACCCGTGGCCCACCTGTTCCAGTCCCCCTTAGTCCTCTCAGTCAGGAAGAGGTTCAGGTGTCTCTGACCGTACCAGTTTCTTTGGGAGGAAGAAGAATGAAGAAATACCGACAAGAAGCAACCCAGAACATGCAAGCCAGTTTCAGAAGAAGCTAAGTGAACATTGGCCCCAGCCCTGTTATGTTCGTAACAAGAGTTTGAGCCTCTTGAGGCCCACCCCTTAGAACATAGCCTAGCAGTATAGCCTTAACACCTCACTGGGGTGGAAGAGGTTCAACAAAGGTGAGAAGTGCTTAGTATTTCCCTAGAGAGTAGGGCACACCTCTGACTTTCTGTGCATTTTTTTCATTAGGTGCTGCTGAGAATTCAGTAGGTTCGTAGGTAGACAAAAACTATAGCTTCACCTTACCAGGACTTGTGCTGTGGGATAGCTGAATTCAGGAAGTAGTCTGTGCTAGCCTTGGAAGGGATATTGACTTACTCCTCTGTTCCACAGTGAGTGAAGCCATTGAACTTAAGGCGTTTGTTCAAATACCATTTATCCACCAGGGAAACCTTTACTTCCCAGGAAGACCAGAGCTGGTCATTTTTTTTTGAGCCTTCCACCCACGTAGAGTGAGGTCTCCAGGAATAGGAAATGGGAAGGTACATTTTTTGAGAAAGGTCAGGAAATTTTAGAGTTGAAGGAAATGAAGCAATACAAGCTGGCTTTTTCTGGGGGAGCGGTAGTACAAACATGTTGAAATGGAGAAGAGCTGAAATGCCAATAGCTAGAAAGATCAACAAATACATGCTGTTTCACAAATGACTCAGGAGCAGCCTTGAGCCTTCTGTTCTTGGAGATGATGGTTCTCTTCCCAGGGCTCTCAAAATAAACAGAGTCCAGACCAGGGAGATGGGTCAAAACAAGCATACTGCTTATTTGTAGTAAGATTCAAGTATGGGACCCTTGATTAAAAGTTCATCCAATTCACCACCCCTGACCAGAATAATCCAGAATCTGAGCTGCAGGAATACACATAGCACATTTTCTAAGATGCACAGACCTCAAAATTCTATATCCTTAACTATTTTAATCCTATTAAATTCCTAGGGAATAAAGTACATACAGGTGGTCCTAGTACAACAGGTATCATCACAGTGATAGACGCTATATTGCAGCTTTTCTCAGCCCTAGTTGACAATCCAGTTGTCTCAAGTATTTGAGCCAAACAACAGTGCAACCAACAAAATTAGGTGTTTGTTTGTACCACCCTTAATAGGTTTTAAACTGAGTTTGTATGTCCAGCTGCCAGTGAGTGTATTAATTTTTATAATAAGGTCATCTTTCTGGGCTCCCTGCTATTTTAAAAGGAAAAAAGGTCCAATGCAATGAGCTCCCCAAGTACAAACTGATAACTAGAGACCTCTAGGACTGCCAGTTTTTTTGCAGAGTGGAATTTCAGTCAGAAAACATGGAATTTAAGTGGAATTTGCCAGTTTTTGAAGTGGAAAATTGGCAGGTCTGACCTATTGGATAATTGCCTTGGCGTTAAAAACAAAATCTTTTTTTTTTTTTTTTTCCAGTAAAACAAAGAGTTTGTCCTAATCTACAAGGGCATCTTTCTTTGTTGTCTTGCATGTGTTTTTAGACTTTGTCTTGATTTGGTTTTGTGCCATTTTCAATGTGAAGTTCCGCATGCGTTCATTGTAACAAAGCTTAGATCACTTGGTTTGACTTGAGCCTTTTCATTGCAGGTCGATCCGAGCCACGAATCCCTCCGAGCACACGGTGATCCTGGCGGTGGTTTCCCAAGCGTAAGCTCACCTCCGTCCCCAGCTGGAAGTAGTACTGTTCATTCTGAAACATTTGTCTGGTGGAATCCAGTCTTTGAGCCAGCACAGCACTGGGCATGCCCTTGGCCCTACAACACCAACCTTAGATCTCACTCTGTGGGGGTGTTCTTTGTTTTGCAAGTTTCTGGAAATATTCACCTTTTTCTCTGTCATATTTAATTGCTGTTAACACATACCTGTACATCTTAGGAAAAAATGAGCACTCCTCGCATGATAGAAATAATGAGAAAATCTGACAAAGAGGTCTGGGGAGAACATTGTTCCCGCTTATCTTTTCTTTGAAGATAAGAGGAGGGAGAATGCTTGTTTTTCACTAAAGAAGAAACAAATTACAGCATGAGAACAAAGAAGCACTCTAAATACGCTGGAAGGAAAGGATTGTATAATTTGGACTGTGACTCTTCAGTGTCTAGAAGCAGGACACAAGGTTGCATGCCAACGTTGGAAGGCAAAAAAGGGGGATTGGGCTGTAGGTATGAGACGGTGGGATGAGAAGGTTCTCTTCAGGGTTTGTTGTCTGAAATGGCCACCACGTAGGATGAAAGACCTCGAAGAAAAAAAGTTGTTTGTACAAGCTACAACCCTTGAAATCCTTGCAGTATCCAAATTGTGGTGTTTGCTTAATGCCATCATTAGCTTCTGAGAGACTAAGACCTTTATTTAGGGCCTAGGACCTACTGCACTTGGCTCCATTGTGGCAGCTCTCACAGAGTCTGCAGCAAAGTTGCTGACAAGCCGGCAACAGAGACTGGGGAGTTTAGGTCTCCCCCAGGCAAGCCTGGCCCGGGGAGGTTTGAAATACTGTCTTCTAAAGCCATATTGGTACAGGAGGAAATCCTGGCTCCATAGTTTTACCCCAACCAAAGACTCTTCCTTCCCCGCTATTCCTTGGGTCTGTTGTTGGGAGCTTTGTCACTTCACTTGGATTCCCACTGTGGGCTGTGGGCCATGGAAAGGAAAGAAATTATCCTCATTGGTTCCTTACCACGTCATTATCCTCATGTGATATATGGGGTCTCAAGGAGAATGAGTGAGGGGAATCAAGATGTACACTCAGCCTTCTTTGCCCCCTTGTTTGTATTTTGTCTTGTGGGCACTGTGAGGTCTTACTTAATAGGGTGTTAGAGTCTCAGACATGGATACCAGAAGATACCAGGCCACGTGCATATTCCCCAAGGCTGACTCATTCCATGGACCCAGAAAAGAAATACTAATTTTTTTCTAGTCACATATTAAAAATACTTACTGATCCTTGACAAATAATGATTTGCTGTGGCTTGTTATTTTTCACCCTCTCCCCCCTATTTTTTTTTTTTTTTTTTTTTATTATTTTTTTTTTTTCTTCAACGTTTTTATTTTATTTTTGGGACAGAGAGAGACAGAGCATGAACGGGGGAGGGGTAGAGAGAGATCCCCCCTATTTTTTAAATAATGTATTTTTTACAGATAGAGAATAATAAAATGAATGCTGAGTTTGTGCAACACAGCTTATGAAATAGAATGTTGTTGCTACCTTCAGACTCTTGTGTGCCACCCTACCCCCGCCCCCATCCCGATCTGTCACTCAGAGAAGGTAGAATCTAGAGTTCCATGGTAGAAAAGAGAGGACTGCGCTTTCCTATAGGGAAGGCATGAGCTGTAGGTAATGCCACCAACAAGCACCGGGATTTCTCTTCTTGTTCTCCACCTGCCCCTCCACCCATTTTATTTATCTTTTATTCCATTTTCCTTCCCTGTTTCCCAACATAGCATGTCTTTGTCATGCTATGAGCAGACATTCATTGTACTCAGATTGTTCTGAGACCCAACTATAGGCTCAGTATAGGAAACCTTCCATGAAATGAGGAACAATACCCTCAGTTTTTTTTCTCTTTTTCCCTTCTACCTTGGCATTCTTAATGACCCTTCTTTTCCATTTGGTTATGGGGTGCTGCAGTCTATAGTGCCAGTTGACTTCCTCACATTGCAAGTTGGACCCAGCCAGGTCTTGGGGTGGGTGTTGTATTTCCAGAAAGTTTGGGGGAAAACATAAAGGATAGTCTCTGGGATGAGCAATGCACCCACCTTGTCCCATCCATGTGTTTCAGCTTTCGAGGCCAGCCCAGCTTTGGAGATGGCCACTCATGTGTGCCGTGGTCACGCTTTCAGGCACACTGCTGGAGTTTTCTCTCCTGTTGGTGTTCTTTTTGCATCTGGAAGGCAGATGTGGGACTCTGGGTCCTCGAAGGCAGGTACATCCCATGGACACATGCTGGTCAGGAAGCCACTCTTCATGCAAACTCCATGCTTGCCTCGCTGCTCGCTCTCCATGTTTCAGTGTGAGGAACCCTGGTTTGTATCTGGTGAGTGACTGCATTTTCTGCTTTGCTGCAGATCAGGCGACCATGAAGAGGCCTCGGTCCTCCCGCTCCTGCATGCAGGCTTCAATAGGGTATGTATGTAGGAGGTGACTCAGCACCCCTGTCCGGTACCGATGCTTCATCATTGGTTCTCACCTAATAGCACAGCCACAGATAACCTTTAAGGGAACTGAGCTCCAGGACCTTGAGGGAAAGGACGTAGCTGTTCTCACAGGACAGTAATAAGCGACTGCTACTCAAGCTTTTTCTCTCATAACTTCATGTGTCTTAGTCATAGAAATGTAATGACCTAAAGGCACATCTTATTATCAACAGGTCAAAATTCTGTAGTCCCAAAGTAACCTCACTTAAATGAGTCCAGTCAGTGAGACTCAGTCTTTGTATGTGAATGTTATACGGTATATGGTTAAAGTCCACCAAATTGGCACCTAGGGTTCTGTGTGCCTCAGGGCCCAGCCAGAGCTTATACCCTAGGGACAGACCCATGATGGCTTTCACATCTGTCAACTCGTGGTTTAAGCCATCCGTGTCAGCAAAGAAAAGTTACTTGAGTCACAACTACATGAATAACACTAATGTTCAATGTAAAGCTTGAGATGGATTACTCCACTGGCTATGACACCAAGAGAGAGACGCAGGTTGTTCCTGACTTAATTCCTCACGTGAACGACAACTGTTCAAGAACAAGAGACTGCTGAGAGGATCCTAGGACATGGAGGTGAGGCTGAAGCACCCCTGCATCACAGGTGCAGTGTGATTACCCCTGCTGTGTCAGCAGGCCAGGTAGGAAAAGCAGTTATCCAGTGACCACGCTGCCCCTCCCCCGGCCAGTGCAGCGTCACCCGGAGAAGTCTTCCCTCATACTGAAGTGGAAAGGGAGCCCAGGGGTGACTACCAGCTCCCCGACCCCAGTGTTATGGGTTACTCTGTGGGAGCCCGTACTCTGATCTTGCAGTATGGGGAATCCAAGGAAGTCTCTGTGGCTCTGCCACTGAGAATGTGACTGAGGTGGGGGGCGGGTGAGGCGGGGCTGAGCAACAACCAGTCCCTGGATCTTGGCAGACTAAGTTCATACTTGCAGTTCCCAAGTAGTAACCCAACCAGTGGTTTTGCTCATCTTCAGGACCCAGTCACAGGTGCAGTCTGACCAGAGAACTCTGCAGAGTGCTGATCTGCACTCTGTGAGGATTTGGATCCTCACAGGAGTTTTTGTTGGCCTTATAGCTGGTTTGCCCATCCTGTGTGGAGAGTGTCTTAAGGCCCTGTCTGACCAGAAAGACTGGATGCAGTACAACCCCGGGGGCTCTTGAGGGAGGGGCATGCAGAGCTGATTGTCCCCAGAGTAGAGGCCTTACTGGGCATGCAATATTTCTGAGCTATCTGCTATTCAAAGGCAGATTAATTCATAGCCCAGGCTGAGGTTAGCTCCTAGCCTCTCCCAACCTGCAGAGCCAGTTTGGGAAATTGAGTAGCCTGGAGTGACCCCTCCCCATCTTGCCCAAGCACAGAAGCTACACTGGCTGTGGAGAGTGTCTTCCAGCCCCTTCTGCCCAGAAGGGCTGGGGATAACTCCTGGATGCCACCCAACAACACTGGAGCCGACAGGCTGGGCAAGGAAGAACTGATGGTTTGCATAACAAAGCCAATGGCACTATTCCATCAGGACGCTTGGCAAACAGGCCCCCTAGAGTTAAGACAAAGACTTTTACTAGCTTTAGAGCTGCTTCTCCCGCTGCAGGCAGGAAATGTAATTCGTAGCCCCACTCATCACTGAACACAACGTTTAGCCTCTCCAGCCAGGGAACTGAACCACAGCACACAGAAACCTGCATAGCCCTCTCAGCAGCCCTACATACAGAGGTGCTTGAACAGACTGTACAGCCTGTCTTCAGAACACAACTGGTGGCCTCACCTGACCAGGAAATTCAGTGCACATTCTGGCCTAATTTGGGTCCCTAAAAAAACAAGCAGTACAGGCCTGGGATCCCATCCTGCTGCCCTGCCAGGGCAGGGCCGGGAAGGTCGTTCCCAGACTCATCTACTACTGAATACGTTACACAGGTCTGACCATCTGGTAAGCCTGACCTGAAACTTCAGTCAACTGTAGAACCCATCCTGTAGCTTCGCCTGGGTAGGGAGCCAAGCCAGTAGCACACTGCTTCATCCCTGTCATGAGAGTCTGATACTTGCCTTGCCCTGAAATAGATCATAGTAGCAGGCCCTACCTGACCAAGGTCATTACCAGGAATCACACCCAGAAACCCAGACTGAGCTGACTGATGAAGTCTCTGCCAAAGCAAACCTATAAAGTCTGTAAGATGAGCCCAGGTACTCAGATGCACAGACACCAACAGAGGAGTCAAGGATCGTGAAAAATCAGGTAAATATGACAACACCAAAGGAAACTAATAAAGCTTCGATAACTGATCCTAAAGAAATGGAGATCCGTGAAGTGTTAGAGAATTCAGAATAACCATCTCAAGGAAGTTGAGTAAACCACAAGAAAGCAAAGACAAATAATGAAATTAGGAAAACAGTGCAAGAACAAAACGAGAAGTTTGACAAGGAAATAGCAGCCATCAAAAAAAGAAAAGAAAAAATAGAAAAATCATAGAATTGAAAAAATACAATAACTGAATTAAAGAACTTAGTAGAGAGTTTCAGAAGTAGACTTGACCATGTTGAAGAAAGAATCTGGGACCTGGAAAGAATCTGTGACCATAGGAAATAACCCAGTTAGAGGAATAAAAAGAAAAAACAGAATGAAAAAGAGTGAAGAAAGCCTAAGGTAATGATGGGACACAATGGGGGGAAAAAAGCCCAATACTTATAATATTCTCATTATAGGTATTTGCAAAAGAAGAAGAAGGACAGAAAGTACATTTAAAGTAATAATGGCTAAAAACTTCTGGACCTGGGGAGAGAAATGGACGTCCAGATCCATGGGGCCCAGAGGGCCCCAAATAGATTGAACCCACATATGTAATGGTGCTTTGCTACCCTGGGTTAAAAAAACAATCCTTGTCATAGAGCACAGAGAAGCGGGAATGTGTGATGTGGTTTTGTGCTTTGGTATGCCTCGGTGTGCAGGAGCAGTTCTCTTTAAAATACTCAAGGTAGCATAGTGGTTCACCTGTGTAATAGAAATATTTCTATTTAGCACTGTAACTCTCCTGACAGCATTGTCCATCATCTCCTCTATCAAAGGCTGGCATTGGGAGTCATGTCTTAATGAGAATGCCTAGGACAGTGCTTCTGAGTCCGGGAATGGAGAGTTGCAAAAGGAAATTGTCAAGCCACGTGGCTGAGACTTCCTTTCTTAGGCACTTTCTAAGAAACGATGTAGTCATTTGCAGCTTTCGTAGGTCTTACATTAAATGGTGATCCCCATCCCAGCCTTGTTCTTCACCTGTGAGGCAGGATCTCTGGGAGTGTGAGGAGGCAGGTTTTCTGCACTATCTGGGAGCTGACAGAATAGCATGACACACTGTAGGTTCTGTCAGTGAGGATCTACATAGGTGTTGTTAACCATCCTTCAGGAATATTCTGCTTGTAATTCAGTGAGCCTACCTCTAACTGGTTTAGAGATTGTCTGGAGGGCTGAGATTACCCATTATATCCAGGAGGAACACCTGACCCTCTTTGGGTACAAATGCCACTAAATAAATTGAGGAGGTGAAGTTCACAGTTTCCTTTTTAGTCCTTTGGTAACCTTTGGTCCGTGCTGCTCTAGTAGGTTTCATTTCCCTTTGTTGGGCTGTGGTGCTGCTCTTGGCAGTCAGCCATTGTGGATAACACTCTTCAAGGGAGCATGAAAGATAGTACCTGTCAGGGACCACCTGGCAATCTTTAATGCTGAGTCTGATCAAAGCCATTTACCAGCTAGGTCAGGGACACCCCCCCCCCCCCCCCCCCCCCCCCCCCGCCCCGATAGCTTGAGCTCTCCTGTGAGAAGCATGCCAAACCTACTGAGGCTTTACCTCCTGGGTTACTGTGGCTCAAGATCAGCTGAAGCTCTCCAGGTGGCTAGTCTCCTTTTTTGGGTAAAATCTTGTCTTTGGCAGCTTTCTCCCCAAGCACCCTTCCAAATATGCTGGCTATTCTTGAGTTTGTTTCTCATCTCTGGGTTGTTTTGACTGTATTAAATCATCTGCTAAAACTCTGGTCTGTGTTGCTAGCTAATTGGCCAATGCATCAGTCTCTAGGTCCCTGAGTGGGGATCCAGGAACAAATTGTGCCATCAGATATTCCACAACAGCTCTCCATGAAGCTTTGGTAGCTGTGTATAAGTGGCTCACTGCATGGTACTCAGTCCATTCGGAGCCTTTTACAAACCAATATCTTAATTAGCAAAGGGCAATAGCAGCTGCATTTATATCAACCTTTACGTGCCCCCTTTCTGTTTGAAATGACACTTACTTGCTCAACAGGTGTTCGTGAAGCACTTACTGTATGAAATACAATGGGGTAGGCCTGCTGTGAGTACAGCAGTTGGATGCGCTGGGGAGGCTTCCTGTGGAGGAGCAAGTGGAGAGCTAAGATGGACTGTTAGGCTCCATTTGAGGGGATTTACTTAATCCTCATCTACACATAAGAAATTTAATATTTTCTCCATTTTTGCAGAGGAGGAAGCAGGCTCAAAATGCCTAAATAGTTTGCAAGAGCTCATAGTCATGACAAAGTTAAGGAGGAACAATGTGTTATTTAACTCCAAACTCCACGTTGGGTCCACCAAAGTAGTAGTTCCCAAACTACTCTGTGGCGCACTAGTGTTCCAAAAGTTCTTAATAGGTGTTCCATGAAAAAAGGCTTCCGTGGTCAAATAAGCTTGGGAAATCAGTGAGAACTGTTCCTCCTCTTCCCACCCCTGGAAATGCACAATGCATGCTAGGAACATTGCACATGAGCATATTGAATGCTCTGAGAAGTTCTGTCTTAAAGAAACATTCTAAATTTCTGAATGTGGGGCCCACGAATCTACATTTTTAGAAGAATGCATGGTGATTCCTAGCATATTGAAGTTTGAAGTTCACTACTTTTGATCCACTCACATTATTTCAGTAATAGGAGTTAACATAGCCTAGAAAACCACCAAAGAGTAGAATCTTCTACCTTCGGTCTATAGAAGAGTCACTAAGTGCCAAACAAGGGGTGTGCAAAACAAGGGCTCCAATGTTTAGAAACCATCACCTGTAGAAAGCTCTTTTTCACTACAATGGAAGTTCTTAGAACTAAAGAAAATAAGATCTCAGTAAGTTAGTACTTAAATGAAAGTGAAAATACAGTATGATTTTACAGACTGTATTTAAAGTATTACACACACACACACACACACACACACACACAGGCATTGGAGCTTAAGGGAGATAAACCAAACGTAATGATATCTCCACCTTATAACATTGTTAGTGACTTGGGGTTTTTTCCTCCATGACTTTCTTTACACATTTTTAAATTAATGTGTATAACTTTATAATTAAAAACAGACAATAAAATTTATTAAAATTGGTGTCTTTAAAAAAAAAAATCTGCCCAACTGTTGATTGTAACACTTTTGAAACTGATTTTTATCACAGATCCTTTTTAGTATCTTAGAAAGCATCTGCTCACAATGCTCAGAGCTTGTCTACAGGCTTTTACATAATCTCCACCCATCCAGAAGCTCAGCCTGAGCCTAACCATGTTTAACTTTGCAGAAAAAGAGAAAGTATTTCCCTTCTGTGTGTTTGTGTTCTGTGTTCGTGCCCCCCCCTTTTCATTACCCTCTATCAGCTTCCCCCTGGAGTAGTGGGGAACCAGAAGTATTCCCCAGGGAGAAGCCATCCATGCTAGATGCATGGTGTGTGTGTGTGTGTGTGTGTGTGTGTGTGTGTGTGTGTGTGTAAGAGGAGAGTGCGTTTGGCAATCAGAAGATGAGGAAGTTAGCAAAGAAGGGTCTCTTCCCTTGAAAATGACCATTCATACTGTGGCACATTGCATGAGTGTCCAGTGTGGGGTTTGAAAAGACTTTTCTTAGTGCAAAATAAAGCCAAAATGTTTCAGTAATTAACAAGGGGGGAGATGCTGTCTCTGCCCTTGTATGTTTATTTTCCTGTGAGTATTTGTGATGAAGTTTTTCCCCACCTTTGTTACCAGGGGAGTTAAGCATACAGTATTACCTTATCGGTTGTTTCTCATACATTTAAACAAGCATTTCAAAGAGTTTGACAACTGTTTTGTTTCATTTCAATTTCTCAAGTTGTCTTATGTAACAGAGTTACCTGGGGTGGGAAAAACTAAGTTCCTTTATTTGACTCCTTAAGAAGTCATTGTATGTCTTACATATTATCTTTGTTTTCTTTTCAGAGATTTATGGAGAATAGCAGCATAATTGCTTGCTATAATGAATTGATTCAAATAGAACACGGGGAAGTTCGCTCACAGTTCAAACTACGGTATGTAGCAAAAATAAGAAGGAACACAAGGTTAACAATGTTGTACAAAAGCTTCTGTCATCAGACTGATGTTCACAGGTTCCTAGCTGAATGCCAGGGATTTTGAAACTGTTAGACAGGTGATGGTAGCTGGTAAATGGCAGAATCCAAACTAGGAGCCCTTTGCTCAATGAAATAAATTAGAAAACATCTCTTTCTTTGACAGTATTTCCCACTAATTAAAGCAGTTTTAAAATTATAGTCTAGGAAAAGTAATGTTTAATTTTCATACAATTAAATTGAGATTAAGAGTAGCCTTTGAGGATTACCTTCCATTTACTACTCTTTTAACATTTATAAGTTCTTGCTTGGATTGTTAAGAACAGGAGCAAACCCATGGTATATCTGTTATGCCAGCCATAATAATTGCTATGTAACCATGATAACAATTTCATGAGGTTTGTTTGTGACCTCAGTATGCATGAAGTGTGTTCAAGAAACTTACTTTAAGTCTCCTTAAAGGCAAATAGTGCTTTAAAAGCAGGCTTTTCATAATGTTCACTTCTGAGATGAAATTGTCTAGACGTCTGTCTGCTGGAAAGATGTTCTGTTTCCGGGACATCTTGGGATATCAGGGCCCTAGCTCATGCCCAGTTTTGTGGAGGTTCCCCTCTAGCACATCAGACCTTGATTTCTTCAACGTATCCCCCTCAAGTAGGAGAGAAGGGCAGAGAGGAGGCTCTTGCCAGCCTATAGCTCCTGGGAGTCCAGCCCTTCACGGCTCCAGGCTTTTGGATGCCGGAAGGTCACTGGCATGGTTTCTCTCTGTGGCCAACCCAGAGGTCATGACAGTTTCAGGCTTAGTGAAAAATAAGTAAGATAGCATCTCACCGTAATGATTATGCTTATCTTGATTACTTAATTGGCATTCAAAGTGGACAAAACCCTGTGTAAACTTAATTTTTCTCTGCCATCCTTGGAAGTAAAATGGATTGGCATAAACCCATAAAGGCAGGTTTTTCTGGGGTTTGTTTACCCTGGTCAGGGAAGTCACTTTTTGGTGGACAGAGAGCTTTAAGAAATAGTGTGGGGAGAAACAGTCACTTCCTTAGGCAGGGAAATATTTTTTTAAAAAGTCAAACTAATGGAAATTCTGATATTTTAAAAGTCTTCAGTGAGGAATACTGGTAACGGTTTTTGAATACATAAGTGAAATCCCTAGGTTTCTTTGTATCCGTGTATTTATTAACTTCAGAGAGCTTAAGAGACGTTTTCAAGAAAACCACACTGCCTTGACTTCAACAATTTATGATGTTTATTGTACATTGTTTTTATTCCTTGGGATCTCTACTCTTTTTAATTAAGGATAAAATGACTGTACTTTTTTTTTTTTAATGTTTATTTACTTATTTTGAGAGAGAGAGAGAGACAGAGAATGAGTGGGTTTGGGGCAAAGAAGGAGAGAGAGAATCCTAAGCAGACTCCAAGCTCAGCACAGAGCCCGACCTGGGCTTGATCCCATCCATGACCATGAGATTGTGAACTGCGCTGAAATCAAGAGTGGGATGCTTAATCGACTAAGACACCGAGGTGCCCCCAAAAGACTGTACGTTTAGATTTTTTCATGATAGATAGAAAAAGAGGGATGTCATTGTGTTTCAGTTCTTTAACTGCGTATGATCCACAACAAGAATGAACAGCAGACCCCTTGTTGCTTTGATAGGTAAATCCTTCATTTTAATTAACTGATTTTAAATAACTGAGGTTTGAGGTTTCTTAGGCAACATTTAAGTGTGATGGCACATGTAGGATGTCAGAAGGTGAGGATGCCTGGTGGCTCAGTTGGTTAAACATCTAACTCTTGATTTTGGCTCTAGTCATGATCCCAGGGTTGTAGGATTGAGCCCCGTGTTGGGCTCTGTGCAGAGTGTGGAGGCTGCTTCAGGTTGTCTCTCTCCCTCTCCCTCTGCCCCTCCCCAACTCACGTGTGCACACGTGCTCTCTCCCTCTCTCTCTCTTAAAAAAAGAAGCCTCATTCATTGTCAGCAGGGCAAGGGCAGGTCTGGCAATTTGAAATAGACATTCTTAGCCAGCACGAGGGTTAAAAGAATGGGCTTGAAGTTACTGTGCTGATAAAATTTGCTTAGAGCCAGGGCACTGAACACTTCTGAGGGTCTCATCACATTCTGAACTTAGCACGTTTCTAAGTACATAAGCCTGCATAAGTCCCATAACTTCTCACCCCTCACTGACTGGAGCTGGTTGGAGGAGTTGAGCCCATTGTGGAGGTCATAATGAGAAAGCTCAAGTTCTTAATGCATGCAGAGCAGTGTGAAGTTGTTAAATGGAGTTGACTCAGGCAAGCAGTGGTGTCCGAAAGGTAGGTTTGCCCAGGGTGCAGATCCCTTTCCACAGCAGCTTAAGGTAAAGAGTCTCTGGTAAAGACTGGTAAAGAGCCTCTCTTCCTGGTCATGAGCACCCAGCAAGAGAGCAGCCCCAGCTGTGGGGAAAAGAAAGCAAGAGTTCTCCACAGAAGGCCAGAGAAGGACTATGTGGTCAGTTTCTTCCATTGGTTTTTGGCTAGTTCTGCCTCAAGCATCTCCAACTTCCTTCCTTTTCTGGAGGAGAAGGGTGTGTGTACATGGTTTGACTCTTCCTGGGTACCCTATATCTGGGCCTAGCAGTCAGGGGTTGGTGACCCATTCCATGATCTCCCCAGCTCCATCCATATTCAGGGACATCTAAAGACTCCACCTGGACCTCAGAGTCAGGCAGGCAACTCTGTCACTTGCTGCAGATGGGGAAAATGAGGCTCTTTATTATACAATGCCAGAATAATTATAGTCTAATTATATAATACTTTTCTCTGCAATTCCGCCCCCAGCTGCAGCTAAATATGTGACATTGCTAGCATTCTGCAAGGACAGTCTGTACTCTAAGGAGGATGTCAAATGTTGAAGGTAGACACTCTTGTCCAGGTCCTGGTGTATGGTAACCATATTTAGCCAAGAACACCGAAGGATCATGTGACCAAAGAAAAAATATTTAATTTTAAAATTCCGTTATAAAGAATAACTTCTAAAGAGAGGAGATAAATCACATCTCTGTATGCTTGATGAGTTTACCTTATTAAACAGTACTATTGTTTATGGGACAAATGAAATGGAGACTGTCTAGGGAAATATAGGGTAAATGGTGATCACTTCTCTTCCAATGTTCTTATGCCTCTTTATCATGAAAAGAACTGTGTTATCCGAAATGCAGATAGGATTTAGCTGCTTACCGGGAGCTTAAACTGGTAAGTTTATAATAATGCAGCCCTGTTTCTCTTACCTAGGACTTAGACCCAAATCATCATGTTCACTTGATTCCAAGTCTAAAGAGAATAGCGCGGTCCTCCATTTCAGGAGTCAAAGTCTCTGATGGACAAAACTTGAGTTCCATGGAATACCACACTTCTTGGTATCAACAGACATTTATAGAGCACTTTATCATGGGCCCTGCGTGACAGGCACTGTCACAGGAGTAGAGTCCAAGCAGTGAAACCTTAATGTAATTGGCTCCCATGGTACGGCTACCCAGGATTGGGGCTCACCAGGAGCAAGTCCATGACGCCCTGGCCACCTGTGCTTCCCTCTGCCTGCCTCCCAGACCCTGCTGGGATGTAGATTTAGGTTTAGGTTTCCCTGAAGCCACCACCTTGCACAGTCCTACCTTGTTGCAGGCAGCCTCGTTTTGTGTATATATGTGTTTTGAGTAGATTCTGGAATACCCGTGGTAGGAATACAGGAGATAATGCAACCCAACCACTCCTGCCCCAATGGACAGAGGAAAACACTGAGAGCCAGGGAGACTCTTGACATGATCACAGCTACCCAGTATGTTGGTGGCAGTGTTGGGGTCAGACCCTGGCATCCTGCTCTTCAGTCGGATGCACTCACCACCCTGTCACACCACTGTGTTCTTTGTAGACTTGTAGACATGACACTTGGGCCCCTATAATATTTGCCTTTTCCATCTGGACCTTCAAGGGCTCCTTAAGAAGGTGAGGGGACATGGTTCTGTGGCCTGTACTTCATGGGTTTCCACATCGCGGCTACCTTTCCTTTGTGCTTTTTCCAATTTTCCAACTTCTCAACCTGAAAGGTACAAAAATTATCTGAGGCACAGTTATGTGGTTCCTAAGAACAGAAAATTAATAAAGTTAAGGCTCTTCTGCATGAAGAATATTAATAATTAATACACGCTATTAAATTCCCAAACTTTAGGAACATGATTCAAATTGATTACTTCATTTTGCTGCAGGTTTATTTAAATAGAACCATCAGCCAAATTGCTTTAAAGCCTAGTTCTTAACAGTGCTGTCCAGCATGTCACTGGGAGAAAACCATCTGCTGGTCCCATCCAGATCCTTCTACCTTGACTGTTGATGAGAATTTGCTTTGTCCCATTGGGCATTATACTGAAGATTTTATGCTTTGTGGATAATCATACAACGAATGTTTAATAGATGAATTTTGGACATTTGGAGCTAAGATCTTATATAAGGGCTGCTCTTGAATTGACAAAAACACTAATACTCTGAAGTACCCTTTTAAATGCTTAGGTGAGGCACACAGGCACGTTAAGAAAACGGGCAAAAGATGAATTTGTCATTTGATAAAATGTGTTATAGCTTAATTATCTAGCTCTCAAATGTAAGGTTTAGTCCACACAGAATGTGCTTTTCCACGTCTGACTCCTGGGGGACAGGAAATGCTTGCCTCTGCTGCACCATCGGGTTCTGTACGCACATGCCTGGAAAATACTTCTGAGACGACTAGCTGTTGCTTGCCTCTTTGTGGGAGGCAGGGTACTAGTGACTTTGGTAATGATTTAAAATTCTTTTTTTCCCCCTTATTTTAGGTGATCTGGTTTACAAATGCGGCAATGGTATTAAGGCAGTACATGGTTGAAATTAGACTGGTACAATTTATTTTATTTTATTTTTAAAAATTTTTTTTTTAACGTTTACTTATTTTTGAGACAGAGAGAGACAGAGCATGAAGGGGGGAGGGGCAGAGAGAGAGGGAGACACAGAATCGGAAACAGGCTCCAGGCTCTGAGCCATCAGCCCAGAGCCTGACGCGGGGCTCGAACTCACGGACCGCGAGATCGTGACCTGGCTGAAGTCGGACACTTAACCGACTGCGCCACCCAGGCGCCCCTAGACTGGTACAATTTAAATGAGGAAACGTACTGTACCCATCTGGAATCTCAGACAAGTTAGACTTACCTTCTCCTCAGCTCGCCCATCGCAGTTACTTATTTACCCTTCCACACTGGTACCTTCATCACTGCACCATGGACTAAAATCCTTCACTCCTCATGCAGGTTACCTTGCTATTATTGAATGCAGTTCTTCGTTAGATAGTTCAAGTATTCTCCTGAGAAAAGATAGGTTATGATTTCCTTTTCTTTCCACCAATGGCCTTTGAAAGTGTTAGAGAGTAGGGAGATACTGCTCCGAGATCTGACAGGTAATAACAAGTACTATGAGCTGAATTCTTACATTATCTGAAGCACTTTGAGAAATGCCTCACATAAACTGTTGATTTTTACAGCAACCTATAAAACAGGTGTTATTACTCTCACTTATAGATGAGGTAACTGGGAGCCAGCAAAGATAAAAAGTTGCCCGTGGTGCCATAACTGGCAGAATACAGAACCAGACTTCAGCCAGGTTTTTTTTCCCCCTCTTCCTTGTAAATAGTTTAAAACAGGATGGCAAATTTAGATGCCTCCATGAGTGGAAAAAATGAATAACATCTTATAAAACAGTATGGTTTATAAGAAGGAACATGAATCAAGTAAATCCTTTTTTTTTTTTTTTTATAATGTGTCAGACAGGCCTCACTGGGACTCTTTAAACAGCCAGCACAAATATAAAAGCTCTAGAAACTAGCCACATACTTTCTGTGTTAGATAGTAAATAACTTACCATATTTGGAGTTGCGCTAGATTTAGAAGGTACTTAAAATTCTAAGCAATTGAGAAGTTGAAATATTTCCAGTATTCTACATGTACATTAGAAAGGTCACCAAGAAAAGTGCCTACCTGGAGAGCTGTAGGGTTAACCAGGCAAGAGGAATCTTGCCATACGTGCCTTCCATCGTGCCAGTGGGTGAGGTTGAAAGCAAAGTACCATATAAAGGCTTATTGACTGGAGATTACGAAAGTAAGAAAAGAGGAAAAAGTATTTCTGTGTCTCTTGAAAAAGGGCAGACAGACTACCTCAGATTCAGTTTGGGTTTAATTCAGTTCTAATTGTTGGGGACTTGACTCCACCGTGGCCCCACTAGGAATGAAACAGAAGAACAGTGTTGACGTAGATCTGGGAGACCTGTAAGATGGCCTCCTGCAACTTCGTTCTCTTGGGTCTGTATTAAGGTTTCATTGAGCACATAGGTGGTTCTTTCCATGATCCATGAAGATTTTGCTGGATTGCAATTCTTCTTTGTGTTATAGTCAGAGAAATGTATGCTGCTGTCAAACAAACTAGCTTACTTTGAAAGGCTAGAGGTTTTTTTCCTTCACAAAGAACATGGCTTTAATGAATTTGGGGGAACTGTTTACTTTGATAAATTAGCATATGAAACGCTAATGGTTTTATAGCTTCACTAACATTGATCTTTCGCAACTTTCAGGGCCTGTAATTCAGTGTTTACAGCATTAGACCACTGTCATGAAGCCATAGAAATTACAAGTGATGACCATGTGATTCAGGTACGGAGACACTTTTTGTCTGGAGATGTCAAAACAGAACCTTTCAAGTTGGAGCCATCCTTTTCCAAGGAACTTTCCTATAATCCTCACATTACTGTGTATTTTCTTTGGAGAAAGGGACATCAAAAATATGTAAAGAAAACTGATAGACTGAAATCTAAATATTAGATATTCACCGAGAATAAAAAAATTATTTTGGATCCAAACCTATGCTTCCTATGACCAAGATAGGGTAAATTCTTTGATAATTTGCGAAGACAGCATTTAAATCACGCCAGAAGTATGTCAAAATTGTAGAGTAAATGCTTATGGGAATGAAATGTTTTCAAAGGTATTCATCTATTTGCCTGCAGTTTGTATTCTAATTATACAGCAGTCTTGTATGGTAAAGTTGTCTTCCTAAGGAAATGTGTATAGTAGATGAACCTTTGTTGAAATGAAGTCATCTTACTGTATTTGTTGGAAGGTAAGACATTTCTGCTACAACAATAATCTGAAATGTGGACTTCTCCATCGATGGATACTGGCCTGCCTGGAATTGGTTTGCATAATGGCACTGAGTGTAAGGAACACTTCCTGTCCTCAGTGGAAACCAAAGACAGTGCTCAGGATATGGTGGCCACACAACAAAGCCCCCACCGCACACAGATACACCCTGCTGTCAAACCGAACCAGTAACAGCAGCAGCCCACCCTGCCTTGGCCCCTTCATTAACATGTTCGTAATGTTGTCTCCTTTCCATTCAGTGACTCTGTGAAAGAAACACAAGTGCCCCATGATACTGATGGGGGGAAACTGAGGCCCAGCAAGGTCAAGGAATTTACCCAAGGAAAGCCCCAGTAATAAGTATTGGAACCAAAATCTGTAGCCATGTCTTTCTGATTATAAAGCCTTCCCTCTTGGTTCCGTGTTTGGCTGTATTTCCAGAATCTGTTTTTGTGGCTGTTCCTTGCCGTGGGTCTGAAAGCTTCCTCTGGTTGCTGTTAGTGCCCACCTATGCACACACAGGTGTGCATCCTGGACTGCAGAGAAACCAGACATGTTTGCTACCAACCAAGTGCAAATCTCACATCCCTCTCACTTCTGTCCAGACTTGAACAATCCATTCCAAACATGAAACGCATCTGCTTTGCACCCCCCTCTGACAGTGGGCAGCCAGATTGTGATTTCTATAGTGAGGAGAAGGGGCTCCCTGCTCTCCAGTTGCCTTCCCCAGTTGTCGTCTGATGACTCCTTGAACAGGGAGCAGAGTCCTTCATTCTATGGTGAGCATCTGGTGGTTAGAGACCCTGTATCTCTGGTGGGGAGGGGGTGACGTGGTGGAGTCGCCCCCTGCCCACCTTCACTGTGACCAGGAGGAAACAGGCTTCCCCTTGAAAAAACCTACTGGCAATCTGAATATAAAACTCAAAAACAAGGGGAAAGAAGTTGAATACAGGATGTGATAGGGAAAAGAGAAATAAAATGACATTTGTGTTAGGGATTTCAAGAGGAGCCCTCATGGACAGGGTATTTCACATATATTCTTACTCATTACCAGAGTCCTTCTCAAGGCACGGCCACTGAGGGGTTTATGCCTCTGTGTGACTATGCATGTTCAGAGGCTAGGTGATGGCCCTTAAATTTAGGAATAATATATACCCATCCATCGATCCATCCATCTCAACTCTTTGCTTTAAAACATTTACACAAAGCTTACCATATACCAGGCACAGCACTAAGCATTTTACACTTTCTCATTTATTTCTTAAAACAACTTTATGAGCCAGGAACTACTACTGTAGCCATTTTACAGATGAAGAGACTGAGGACCAGAGGGGACAAGTAACTTGCCCACAGTCGTGGAGCTAGTTAGTGGCAGAACCAGGATTTGAACTTGAGTGCCTTGGCTCCAGAGTCTATGTTTGAGTACCTGCTGCATTCTGAGGTTACAGGAACCCTAGCATGAACAAAGGGCCATGACTTGTACCCATATCTGCAACTGAATAGTGAAGGTAGAATAAACACACATGGAAATGTATGAGGATTTGGCCAACAAGGAAAATAATACATATATCACATATTTACTAAACAGTCCTGAGTATCCAGAAATAAATCCAAAGTAGGCTTTTCCTGGAGGATTTTTATGTCTAGTGGGGGAGAGAGATAAATAAAAACTTGGATTGAGTGCGAGAAGTGACTGGAAGCCTGCACAGGAGAGAGTGGGAGCCTATAGAAGTGGCTCCAGCTCAGAATGGGCATGGGGTCAAGGGCGGCTTGCTAGAGGAGGGGAGGAGATGGGAGGAGGGACAAATCCAACTTGGCAGGGCATGGAGTTGGGGAGGGGTGTTGTGAGGGGAGAGAACACGTAGGCAGAGGCCCACAGATGAGGAGGAAGTACAGGGAGCTCAGCACGCAGGTGTAGGCCCACCTGGTGAGCAGTAGCCTGCTGCCTGGCCCCAGGAGGGTGGTGACAGGAGATCGCTGAAGATAGTGTCACCACCCCAACTCTTCTGTCAGCCTCATAAGGCCTCGTGCTCAGGCTCCAGAGCACCCTCCAAACCTCTCCAGCTCCCAAGTTTAATTGTGTTAGTAGGAGCTTTGTTCGCAGGGGAACAGCTCCCCAAGTGTCCCTGCATCACCAGGCTACTTACTACTATCGTCATAGTGGAGTGCAAGAGTGATTATGATTATAGTTTGCAAGCATGTTTCTGAAGCAGCAGATGGATGTACATGATGCCCAAAGAAATCCATGACCTAGAGGCTGTACGGTCACATTTGCCCCATGTTCTTTGTCTTTCTTGGGTCCCTTATTCAGCTTCTCATCTAGTAGATTGTTCTTGGAGAAGAAGTTGGAGGGTGGAGATGAGACCTGGGAGTCAGGCAAGGAAATAGCTCTGAATTCCAGGGCCCTGGGCAGAATTTTAGAAAGAAGCCTCTGAGTCTGCTGGCCTCCAGATGTGCCAAGGTGGCCTCTTCTCACACCCACATGTGCCCAGTACTGAAAGGGCTGCCTCCTGCACAACCTGTTTAACTAGATTTATGGTTCAGGTGAGATGGGAAGTGGCCCCAAGCCATAGCATTGGTTAGTAGGCAGTGGCAGTTAGAAAGGAGGCATGAGAGAGCAAATCTCTGCCTTGTAGAGATGTGACTAATAGAAGCCACAACCTGTTCAACCAATTCATTTTTATTCTAACTCATTTTTATTTTTTGACTGTTTTCTTCTTGGCCGATTGGGGATGAATAAGGCCCACAAGAGGCTGGCTCTGCTAGATGAGGACTTCTTGCTCTTTGTCTGCTAAGGAATTTCTTCCAATGCCCCAGAGAGAACTAGGGTGGTGAATGAATACATTGCTGCTCAGGAGTGAGGCAGCGACTCCAGGGGGCTTACTGAAGTGACAGAGACCAGTCGGCACCCACGTCAGAGAGTGCTCATCCAGGGAACTTCTTACTTGATATTCCAACCTGTTCCTCTGTGTCCCAGCAAGCACTCCTGAGGGCACACAGCATACCCACACTGACCTTTAACCACCTCCTGTTCACAGTACGTCAACCCAGCCTTTGAAAGGATGATGGGCTACCACAAAGGCGAGCTCCTGGGGAAAGAGCTCGCCGAGCTGCCCAAAAGTGATAAGAACCGGGCAGACCTTCTTGACACCATCAACACGTGCATCAAGAAGGGCAAGGTGGGTGCAACAGACAGATTTGCAGACCCCTCCCCAATGCATTTTTGTTTGAGTTTTATGTCACGTCTTTAAGATTGGCTCCTTTGATGACATGATAATTAAGTGAAAGATCTCTTATGTTGGCAAAATGAGTCAAGTTGGAGGTTAATTTTGGATACAAGTGAATCAAGCACTTACGATGATGTAGAACCTGATGACTTTGTGTAAGGAGAGTTTATCCTTTCCATGAATCTGTCCTCGCTCTCTTTGCTGCAGTATCGTTGCTGCCTCTGAGCAGAGTTCTGCCCACAGGGCTGTTGTGTGTTTTTAGTGTGTCCATTGTTTGGGGGACTGGAAGTACATGTATCCGTATTTCCATGTGGGCCCTGTTCTTGGTCACTTTTCCCTTTTTCTGTTCTCTTTCCTGATCATAGTTGAGTAGAGACATGCCACTCACTTCTCCCTGTCATGTCAGTTTGTCCAGCAGCCAAAGAGAGGGCTGTCAGTGTGGCAGGAAGCTTCCCTGAAGCCCTCTCTTCCGGAAGTGGAGTGTGGCTCCGGCAGCTGGAACTCCCTGTGCATTTTCTTTTAAGCATTCAGAATGCTTTCACATAGTTATGTCTTTCATCTTGCTTTCTCTGATGTGAAATAGTGAAATGAGCACTGTGTTCTTTTAATTGGGGACTGTTTATAGGAATAAAATACGTTTGGGTTGTATATGACAGCCAACATTAATTTTTAAAAAATAGGGGCAGTGAGACTGAAAAGGAATCAGGACATTATCAAGTACTCTAGAAAATTTTGCCAGGGTGGTACTGCCACACGCATGGTGGCCCAAGAGGCACACCAGTTAGCCGTCTCGTGTGAGGGAGGGGGCGGAAACAGGCTGAAGAGAAAATTGGGTTCTTGTTTATCTCCTTCCTCTCAGACATGGTAGAGGGACCACCAGGCCCTTGATGAGCTAATTCCCTGGGGTCCAGAGACAGTAAGAATGCTCACACTCTCCTTAACTTCATAGAAACTGCCAGGAGCCAGACGAGTCCCAGAGAAGTCTTGGTAGGATGCCCCGTAGAAAGTAGGAAGACAGGTTTCAAGATAAATTAAGAGACAAGAACTTAGAACCACATTTTCCACTTTGTGTATGTGGGCAGGTTAGTTAGAATCTCTGAGCCTTGGTTTACCCATCTGAAAATGTAAGGATGATAATGTCAAGCTTACAGGCTGCTGTGAAGATTTGAAGGAAGACCCCATCAGAATGGCACCTTGACCTGGTGCCACTTAGACCCATAGGACTGAGAGCGGAGCTCTACCCACTCATCAACTGTCCTAGGACCCTGAGGGGCCATCTTGGAGGCGGACATGTTGATCTTGGGGTCTTAGTGCAGGGTGACCACGAGCCTTAGGTGGTAAGTGTTACAATAGGTACAATGATAAAGCAATGTTTTATGGAATGTAATGAAAGCATGTGGGAACTTTATTGCTCAACTTGATGAGATCCTCTGAAGAAGCAGCCATTAGCCTCAATGGAAGGATTTAAGAGCTCTCTTTGTCCATGTAGGAGTGGCAGGGGGTTTACTATGCCAGACGGAAATCCGGGGACAGCATCCAGCAGCACGTGAAGATTACCCCAGTGATTGGCCAAGGAGGGTGAGAGCGAACTCTTGAACTCTTTTAATTGAAGGGCTCATGTGGGCATTGGGTTTGCATATGGAAATACCACTGTAAGCACTAGACCCACTCATAAGGTGGGGTTGGGCTGTACATAGCATATACTGTGGACAGACCCATGTGGCTGGCAACAGCCTCCAGACGTGGCTTTCCCTTTCCCTCTCTTCTCTTGCTTATGGGCTTTACAAAGCATCTCCCCAGCTGCCCACCTCCGCCTTATCATCTGTGGTTCCATTATCCTCACTACCCTCTGAAGGAGCTGTTTTTAGGCTTTCCCCTGTCATAACAGCAACAACAAAACAACAAGGCTCGCTGGCTTCAGCCCTGCGCTGGGAGCCACCTTTCTCTCCTTGAGGCACCAGCTCTGTAGTGGTTCTCTTCAGGCTGGCTCGCGGCTTGTTCCACAAGATGAAGAGAGTCCTGGAGGTCATGGTTACATAGACAAAGGTGTGTTTGGCCAGAATCAGGTGATAAGATTCCATTTAATGTCAGATTATCAGAGAAGGTCAATACATAATTTCTTTTCCTTATCTCAGTTAAATTTTGTGAGAGGGTTTACAAAGCCAAACAGGATCCCTGAACAAGTACGCCACTGAGGAGCCTCTAGTAAACCACCTTGTAGGTCAACACTAGCTTCATAGCATGGTTTACAAGGGACCCATGCTGTCACGTGATGTTTTGGAAAAAGAAGAGGTAGCAGTTGTCATGCCAGTAACCAGAAGTGGTGAGTCCTGCCTGTGACTCGTAAGACTACCTGAGTACCTTCCAAATTGTTGGGTGGTTAGAAAACAAAACATTCTGTAAAGTCAGCTAAATGTCTTAGGTTGTTTCCTCTCCAATTGTACTTGTTTGGTAAGTTTTGAAATTGTTACCCCTCATTTCAGAGACCGTCATCTCGTATTTCCTGACATTTGGCTTCCCTCTGGGGCATTGGCAGGCCTGACAAGGGTTTTGAGCACAGAGAGAGGCCTCCCCTGCCACCCCCTGCCCCTTGAGCTGGTGGCCTTGGCATGGCCATTTCCATAACAGTCTGTGCTCAGAGGCCATGATGGCTGTCACGTTGCTACCTTCTTCTCAGAAAACTTAAGCTAAGATTCGCTCTGTGTGTGTGACCAGAATTCTTAGGTGACCAAGGCAGAGGAGACACTTTTGCTTGGTAATTTCTGTCAGAATGAATTTTTCTTATCTCTCTGATTTTCCAGATAAGTGGGAAGTTCTTTTGTCTAGACGCAGTGTTATTTTTCCCTCACTTGTAGACAGTGCACTATCAAAGGAAATTCTTATTAAAAGTAGGGAAATTTTATCTCTTCCTGTTTACTGAGGCTTATTACAGAATAACCAGTATTTTCTATACTCTGTTCAGTCCTCCAGAGAAAACTGAATCAAAGAGAGCGAAACAGGAGACTCATTCCTGTTCCTATAAAATCTCACATAGCCCTCTAGAATTCCTGGCTCCCCTCTCGGTACCAAATCTACCTTGAGCTGATTTTTGTGCAGGGAGCTGTATAGCCTTTTCTGGTCTCCCTTGTGGTAATGAGCAAGATCATAGGCCGTTTTGGGATTCTGTCCATAATCTTGAAATAAGAGGATTTTTCTCTGCCTGAAAAATGCCATCATTGTGATGACCATGCTGTGAAAGAATATGGAACATTAATATAAAAACAGCAGCCATGTAATTTGGTCATTGTCCAAATGAGTCTTTTGCTTTTTATATAAGCTGTAAAATTATTCATGTCAGTGGAACTAAAACCAACTTCTTCTCGAGGAGCATTTCATCCTATCGCTGGAGATATCTGGGAGACAAGCTTCAGGAGTCAGTTGCAAAATGAAATATCCATTAGGAAAGTGTGTCTGAGCCAACTGTGATTAAAAGGGAAGCCCAGTTTCTGGAGGCATGTGTGGGCTGTGTATGAAAAATGTGTTTTCCGTAGACTAGGTTTTGTTTGAAATTTAAATGTGCCCTAGAATGGACCCTGGGGTTTTGCTTTAAGAAATTCTGTTGATGTTTTCATTTGCTGATTTGTTGAATCATCTCCTATCTGACTCACTAATAACTGATAATTTATGTTATTAGGAAAATTAGGCATTTTGTCTCCCTCAAGAAGCTGTGTTGTACCACTGACAATAATAAGCAGGTATGGTATTCAGTTTCCTTCCTTTTGCTTTGTCAGCTTGACCACATGTTACATTCTCACCACTGTTCTCTGCTTGTCTTTATCCATATCTTACTGTACTTGCCAATTTAGGAGGTGTATGACAAAATTAGGCTCCTTTGACAGACAAATAGTAGAAAAAAAAATTCCCTGCAGGCTTATGTTGCTTTGTTAGTAATATACAGCAATTATGATTTAGCCTGTGGCTGTGCAACTAAAGACTAATGTATTTCATGAGAGCATAAAATTCTTCTTCCAATTAAAAAAGTCCTCTTTGTCTATCATAATTTCTTAAATGAATGAAAAGCATGTATGTATTTGAGCATTTCACTCCACCAGTTCATATCAAAAACAATCATTCCAAGTTAGTAAAAATTAGTACTATTAGTACTGTTTATTTTTACCATTACACCATGCAGAACAATACGTTAGAATCTTGTCTTCTGGAATAACAGAATTTTAATAAGTTGCTATATTTAAGAACTCATAAAGGTAGTTTTGTCATAGAGAACAATGCTGATATTGGTAAATTTTCTTTCTTATACTTTTATTATTGGGTTATGTGTATTTTCATTCATCCTTTAAGGTTTATTGGTTAAAAAGCCCTGAACATACGTAATTACTAGTGATCTATTTTTGAAAACACAAAATGTGGCCTTTGACATAGATGGAGATTTTAAAAGAAGGGGTAATGTCTTGAAAGGATATGAAGGTCTTTGGGGCATGACCCATTTTGGAGGAGCATGTTGGAGACTTGGAAAGTTTGGGATCAGATAGTGGAGGCTGGCCAGACAAGGAGAGAAACTTTGGGGTGATAGGACTTGCTGATGCCCAGGCTCGTCCCCCATGAATAGGCAGCTCCTGGAGGGAAGTCCAACCTGGGTGCCGTGAGCCTGTGGTGGGCTTTCAGCTGGTATCTCAGTCCATTGAAGGTATTCATGTCTTCATGCCTGATTTTTGTTTAATAATGATTTGATACATGTATATATTGCAAAACGATCACCACCATAAGTCAACATGCATCACCACACATAATTCCAAAACATTTTTTGTGATGAAGTCTTCGTTTGAGACTGTTTCTTAGCAGCTTTCAAATTTACATTACAGTATTGTTAACAGTGGTCACCATGCTGTACATTATATCCCCATAACTTACTTAATAAGTGGAAGTTTGTACCTTTGACCCCTTAACCCATTTCGCCATCCCCGCACCCCGCCTCTGGCAGCCAACCTGTTCTCTGTATCTATACATTCAGTTTTTTGTTTTCCATTCTGCATGTAAGTGATATCATGGTATTTGTCTTTCTCCGTCTGACTTAATTCACTTAAGATATCTAGGAGATAATCTAGGTCCATCCATATTACTGCAAATAGCAAGATTTCCTTCTTTTCTGATGGCTGAATAATCGTGTGTGTGTGTGTGTGTGTGTGTGTGTGTGTGTGTGTGTGTGTGTGTGTGTGTATTAGAGACAGAGAGGGAGAGAGAGACCACATTTTCTTTCTCCATTCATCCATCAGTGGATGCTTAGGTTGTTTCTGTGTCTTGACTAATGGAAACCATGCTGCGGTGAACATGGGGGTGCATATATCTCTTTGAGTTAGTGTTTTTGTTTCCTTTGGATAAATGTCCGGGGGTAAATTGCCAGACCATATCGTAGTAACGTTTTTCATTTTTTGAGGAACCTCCAAAGTGTTTTTTACATAGCACCTGTGCCCTTTTCTTCACATCTTCACCAACACTTGACATTTCATATCTTTTTGATACTAGCCGCTTCAAAAGATGTGACTTGATATCTCAATGTGGTTTTGATTTGCATTTTCCTGATGATTAGTGATGTTGAGCACTTTTGCATGTACCTGTTGGCCATTTTTATGTCTTCTTTGAAAAAGTGTCTGTCCAGATCTTCTGCCAGTGTTTAAATCAAAAATTTTTTTTTGGCTTTTGATTTGTATGAGTTCTTTATATATTATATATATATTATATATATAGATAAGGGTATTAATCCCTTATCTATAATTTGCAAGTATTTTCTCCCAGTTGGCAGGTTGCCTTTTTATTTTGTTGATGGTTTCCTTTGTTATGCAGAAGGTTTTTAGTGTGATGATGGTAGCGTCAGTTATTTATTTTTTCTTTTGTTGCATTTGTTTTTGCTGTTGTATCCAAAAAATCATAACCAACACCAGTGTCAAGGAGCTTAGTCCCTATGTTTTCTTCTAAGGGATTTATGGTTTCAGATATTGTGTTCAAATATTTCTTCCATTTTGAGTTGATTTTTCTGTATGGTCTAAGATAGTGGTCCAGTGTTATTCTTTGGCATGTGGCTGTCCAGTTTTCCTAGTACCATTTATTGAACAGACTGTCTTTTTCCTGTTGTATATTGTTGACTTGTGATAAATTAGTTGACCATATATATGTGAGTTTATTTCTGGGCTCTCTCTTCTGTCCCACTGATGTATGTTTCTTTTTTTTATGCCAACACCATACTCTTTTGATCACTACAGCTTTGTAATGTAGTTTGAAATCAGGGAGCATGGTGCCTCCAGCTTTGTTCTTTCTCAAGAGTGATTTGGCTATTCTAGCAAAATATTCTGGACTAGTGAAGGGAATCCTACATTTTCATAGTATTTAATTCATCATAAAATGCCTCCTTCAGCATGGAGAATTTCACCTAGAATCAGGAAGTTTTCATTTACTACTGAGACATCTGGGAAAGGAAGGGAATTGACTTTCATAGAAAAGTAGATTCTGTCAGTAGCAAAGTTTACACATTCCAAGAGAAAGAAAGAGATCTGGGTGAGAGGTGACAGGCGGGGAGACATCCTGGTGGCTCTTGAAAGACGAACCACTGAACCCACGCAGTGCAAGCCAACCTGTCATGGGCTGTGAAGCTGCTATGCACGGTGTAGGCCCACCTGTGCTAATTCGTGTTCATGCCAGAGATGAGCCAAGTACATTTTGTGGCCAGTATCAAGCACAGCCTTCCCCCACCAGCCGATGCTTGATCTTCCTCCTTTCTTTCTCAGTCGGACCCCCAGCCTCCTTGTCACCAGTGTTCCCACAACCACGTGTGCCCACATTCTACCCATCTGTCACCCCCCACCGTCATCATGGCTGTTTGTGTGCCTCAATGCCCTCTCCTCTCCAGTGTGGTCACCAGGCTGTGCTTGTCCTTGGGGGCCCATGCTGCCTGATGCACGGTGGGCCCTTTGGCCGATGGTTAGCTTGAATGGAATTGAATGTCTAGGTCCTGGCTTCCTGCCACCTACAAATCCTTCCTGCTTCCCAGGGAGAGCAGGCAAGCCCTTAGTACAGGACTTAGGGGTGCAGAATACAGAAAAGAGGGCCACCTCTTTTCTGATGCTGTAAATAGAAACATCTTTATTGCCGTGAATTAGCTGCTGTTCTGAGAAGAGTGGAAACACAGAGCTCAGATACCCTGAGCCATTGACGTCACCTAATGGCGCTGCACAGGCCTGGAGAGACACTTAGATTTTCCAATAACAAAGAATTTTTATGTCTCTGGCTGGCCACAGTGTTTTTCCTCCTCATCGGAGGAGGCTGGAGTGAATGGTGATGAGTCTGTGACGGGAAGGGCTCCCCAGAGGTGGGAGCAGCCTGTCTGAAGGCGGTTCTGGCTGTGCTGATTTCTGGGATGTTAGCCTTGACGTCAAGATCCGCCCATGGGTTTGCATTTTAACAAGGAATGAAATTGTAAGCCAGGATGCTATCTCCTGGTAGTGCTTGTCGTCAGCAAAAATCCCTTTTCCTGTGTGAGCCCTGTAGCTTCTTGCCAAGGGGCTGGAAGTGGTCAGTGAGGTTTTTTCTGCTGTAAATACCGTCTCCCCTTCCACCACACACACTTGCTCCCCAAATATGTACTAAACACCTATACTGGTGCCAGGGACAGTCTCTGCCCCAGAAGCTGTGGGGGTTACAGACTGATAAACAGGATGCATTTCTAGAGCGCCGTGCAGGGGAGGTGTGAACTGAGAGCAGGAGAAACAGAGAACGTAGGACCAAAGGAGACTGGCTAGAGTTTTTTTAGGTGTCGTCTAGGACAAGGGGCAACAAACCACACCACACAGGCCACATGTGGTCTGTCGTACACGTAAAGTTATGTGGGAATACAGCCACATTCTGTGTTACGTAGTGGCTGCTTTCACGCTACAGCAGCTGAGAAGTTAGAACAGACACCTAGTGGCCTACAAAGCCTAAAATATTTACTCTCTGGCCCTTCACAGAGAAAGTTTGCTGACCACATTTCCAGAAGGTAATTTTCTTTTTCGAACTACCCGCCTTCCTAGGCCAGGTACACTCTTCCTGGGATCCCAGAAATGGCCTCCTCCTGTCAACCCTGCACCCTGGGGCAGAGCCCATCTCAACCTCTGTGTAGCAGTAAGACGTGAGGACCTGTTTCCTTAATGCTTTTGCCTTTTCACGAGGTCTAAATCCAAATCCAAATGCATGACTCAAGGTGGAATTTCGGGGACCTGCCACCATGCTCCAGGTGGCAAGCTCATGCTGGGAAAGGAGACTTCTAGGATCCCAGCTTCACAACCAGCTTTTCCTAAGCTGGCATCATCAAAGCAGAGGTACCTCACCACTGGCATCCCTATAGTGCCCACCCTTAGTGCGTCCCCCATTCTTGCTTTTTCCTCCAAGCCTTGACCATGAGAATATGGAGAGCCCAGCGCTCCCAGAAGCCAACATGCTGCAGGCATGGAGCCCTGGCAGAGAGTATGGGAAGCCAGGGGGCAAGAGGGTGGTTGTGCCGCTGGCGGTCTTGTGTCCTTTGGCTCGGATCATCTGGTCCCTCTTCTCATGGATGGATGACTCACGGGTCATGGAGAATCCCAGGAGAGGTGCAGAGGTTGCCTGTCCATTAAGAGGAAGGTCGTTTTGTGTGTGTGTGTGTGTGTGTGTGTGTGTGTGTGTGTGTGTGTGTGAAGTTAGGGAGCACAGACACCCAATGAACAGCTCC